TTCGAGTTTGGATTTTTCAGATATGAAATATTTTTCACTTTTCCGCTCATTCATGATACGCATCAAATTCTCACTTGTGTTGAAATTCCATATTTCCAAACACTTCAAAACATCATCTTTCGTAATCTTGTTCAGTTACTTCTTCAACGTTGTCTTTACTTACTGATTTTTAGGATAGTGTTCTCCTCTCAAGTAAACGTCAGGAGAGAGGTAAGGGGCCTGAGAAATCAGATGCCTAGTCCATCAGTGGATTGTTTGGGTATTTTCGTATATCTATGTGAAAATGATTCTATAGAATTTGATTCTAAAGAGTATTGTAGCTTAAGAGGATTGAATCTGGAAGTCAAGTATATTATAGGAAAAATGCAGAAAAAAATTAAAATAGAAAAAATAGGTGATCAGCTTACTCTTCTTCCGCATTTGTGTTTAATACAATAAAAACTTCAGTTTTCATTTAGACATTGTTAGTGTCATTTTTATTGTTCTATACCAAATTTGAGAATCTTATTATTATTAAGAATTGAATTTTTTAGATTGATATAGAGATCGACAATTTCTCCCAAATTAAAAAGCACATTGCTCAACAGAAGAATCAGAGACAAGAAGTGTCGTTATCTTTTTGTACTACATATTTGATCAAGAAGGCAGCATGCCAGCTGAGTAATGAATATGACTTAGTCTTAATAAATATCATAAATAATAAATAAATAATATCATAAATAAATAAATAAATCATTTGTGTCATAAAGCTAACAGAGACTGAGGAACACAGATCATTGACTGATTATAGTCTACAGATAAACACAAATCATACCTATCTCCCACACAAACGGGAACTCGAGTGCGTGCTTCCATGTGGGGAGGGAGGGGGAGAAAGAGAGAGAGAGAGAGAGAGAGAGAGAGGCGAACCTTAAGTATTTGCACGTGAAATATGTCCAATGCGTTAAATGCATTATTTAGCATTATTTATGGCTTCACATTTGAATAGCTGTTGCAAATGTGAAAAGTTTTCAGCTCCTTTGATGGCTGTTAAATTTTTTTCTTTCTCTTGTTGTTTTTGCTGTCGTTGTTGTTGTTGTTAGTGCCTCATTGTCTGCGCCTTGTTTTCCTAGTTGTCATTTGTGCAGTGGAAAAACTCCCACAATTGCAATCACAGATATGATATGATATGTTAGCTATACACATACATATATACTACATACATTATACATATACATACATATACATAGATATGTGTGTATGTATTTCCTGAACAATTGCTGCGACTCGTTAGCTGGTGTGTGCGTAAGGCCTTAAGTTATGATAAATTATGTGGCCACGCCCACTCGCACGCCCCCCGCTGGTGAAAGTGGCAATTGTTGTGTGTTGTGCCTAAGCGAATTCTTACCCAGACAGATTTCCTATTTATTAACAATTGTGCTCACACACACATATGTATGTGCATATGTATATATTTATTAATGATTTCTTTCTCTCTTTACTCTTTTTTTTTGCAGCAGAAACTACGCACAGAGTTTGGCAATTCGCCCACGCCATGTCCATGGAACCGAAGTTGTTGTAAGACGCAGTTGCTCTCGATTCTCATTCACATTTGTATAAAAATAACACACGCGCATCTGACCATCCCACATTAACCAGTTAGTTGCATAGCCAGTCAGTAATTAGAGGTGGACTCGTCGACAGGAAACAGCTGCTGCTGAAGAACCACCAGGACGCCATCTACCAGAACCAGTGCCAGTCCCTGTGCCTGCCCATGGCGGACAGTCGGGAGCGAATTCGCGGACCGTCGCGCGATGGCCGCGAGTTTCTGACCAGTCCTCGCCAGGTGCTGCGCCGGCTGATGCTGCTGTCGGAGGGCCGGCAATATCGGGAGGCGGCGGGCGTGGTGGGTCGCTTGGGTCCGTCGGTGTTGCACTCGGTGATCGCGGAGCTGCCCATCGATCTGCTGCTGGAGCATCTGCCACACAGCGCCTATCTGCTGGAGTCCTTCTACACAAGGTAAGTCGTATAGACTGGCGTTGCCCTCTGCCAACCGCCCTCCACTTGCTCTCTCTCTGTCTCTCTCGTACTTAGGCTGACCACGCTAAACAGCACGCCCAAGCCGGATGTGCCCAGCGAGACGGTTGTTTGGCAGCTGGTGCGTCTCTTTGCCAATCCACACGAGCCCGGCCTGCGACAGCGCTGCTCCAAGCTGATGCAGGCGCTGGCCCACTATGAGCCCGGGCTGAGGCAGGTGCTGCGCGAACGGCGGCGCAGCTTCGACAATGCCGTGCAGGGATTGGGCGTGCATGGACTGACCACAGATGCCTCGGGGCAGCTGATATCGTTGCACGTGGCGCTGAAGGCGGAGCTGCAGCGGCACGTGGATACCTACAAGATGGCCATACACAAGCTGGAGGAGCTGAGCATGGTCACGAGCAATCAGGATCCGGCGCACTCCTCCCACCAGCGGCTGCTAGCCATCAACTATGGCGACATCCAGCAGCGCCTCATTGACAACAAGACCCTGCTGACCATGCTCGATAAACCGGCGCTGAAGCAGCTCCACACGCTCGTCGAGAATCTCAGCACGCGCGTCGAGAACGACAAGGAGGTGCTGTCCTGTGTGGGCCAGGTGAAGCGCCTGGATGCCCAGGCACACATCGAGAAGCGCCCGGCCGCCGGCCTGCTGATGAACTTCTCGCGCGGCTGCGAGGTGGTGCTCCACATGATGGGCCCGGAGAGCGTGCCGCCCAGTCCGCTGGCGGCCAACAAAGCCACAGCCGCGGGCAGCGCCGGCGGCAGCAGCTGCAGCGACGGCTACCACTCCGACGACTCGGCAAGCGAGGATGGCAGGTAAGTCAGCCAGACAGCTCAGCCAGCTGCCATTGTTTTCTCTGCTCAAAATGCGGCTTGACATCATTTTTGCTGATGCCTGCGCACCCCACGCACCCTCACCTCAAAACCGACTCTCATCCGCAACTTCTTTCCATTGGCAACAACCCACGTCACAGCGAATTGGTGTCACACTATCGAAATCTCTACATCGAGAACCGAGCAGACGCCCTGGAGGCGTTGGACAGCTTGCCCCAGCTCAAGCACGTGCACAGTCTGAAGGCCAAGATACTCTTCTCCATGATTGTGGTAAGTAGAGAAGATTTCAATTTATTTAGAAGCTGAAGCCGTAGAAATTCCAATTAGGAGCAATTCACCTCAAATATTATTATTTGTGAAATATTTTAGATTAGATCGAATAGCGAATTTTAGACTTTTATGTTACATTTGGTATCAAACGGGTTTTATTGAATTATTTATTAACTCTAAATAAAGCTCTAGTTATGGTAAAAGATCATATTGTTTGTTAAATTATAATATTTTGATTTTTATAAGCCATAAATATTCAGCGATATAATAATGAAATGACATATACATATAAATGGGCTAATAAAAAATAAAATATTACATGTTAAAAATATTTATGGTCAAAATATATAAAAAAATATATATTTAATTCACTAAATATAAATTAATTATTTTTCTATTATATATTTTATATAAAAAAAAAAGTATATATATATAAGCAATATATATAAATTTTTAATATTAAAAAATATATAAAAATTTTTTTTTTCCAAATATACATATATATTTATAATTTATTTATTTATTATTTTATTTATTATTTATATATATGTATATATTAAATTTTTTAAAAATTTATTTATTTAATATATTAGAGATAGATATATTCAAGAACTAAACGGCTGGCTTAGCATTCGCATATGGCAACGAAAATAGGGAATCAGTTAACTGGTGATTTGCATGTCTCTCAATTTGGACTATAAAAAGAGATAAATAAATAGATATGCATAATTTTATTCTAAATAAAACGTTTTTGCTTAAGCTCAATAGTTTGTTTAGAGCAGAGAAATGAATTAACTTAAATTTAAATTAGAAAAAACTAAGAACTTTTACCTAATTCGAGAGCAAAGCAAATTTGGACCATAAGAAAATCATTAAATTAACATAACAAATTGGAATCATTAATCAAATGGGAATATCAAATTTATATACATTCTTAAATGTCTAGAACAGCTCTCTTTATGGAGTTGTTAAAGCTCAAGAATGATTTAAAATTTGCGCCAAATTGAAAAGTTTATAAATTATTTGAAATTCAAAATGAGAAAATCATTTTCAATATTTTGCCAATTCACGTTGATTACGATGTTTGTGACTTTGCTTGTTTAGCCCACGCTTGAGTTTGAGAAATCTAAAAGCTGGCCGCAAATTGTTATTGCAAAATATCAATTTGCAGTGCAACGCAACGCTGCAAGCGCTGGAACTGGAGTTGGCGCCGCAGCTGCTCGAGTTTCGTGGCGCTGATTAAGTGTTATAGAAGAAAGTAAAGCGCCGCGGGGCTGAGAAATTACGTTGGCGATTGAGCTTGTTTCTGCCGACTGTCGATAAATAACTTTCGATCTTCGGCGCTGAATAGAGACAAGTGGTTAGATAGATGAATGACACCGGCAATTGGCTGGATCAGCTGCTCTGGCCTGGCTCGGCTTGGCTTGGCTCGGCCCGGTCTTTGGCCGTGGGCAGCTATTGAGCCATGGGTAATGATTGGCATATTTCAAACCTTCTTTTCTGTCTTTCTTTCTCATATTTTGTGCAGCTTTCTTTTCGCCTGTGCCACGGCATGCGGGAGCGCAAGGTGTTGGAGGTGCGCCACGTGCTCAACTGCGCGCTGGACAGCAGCAGCGAGACGGCCCTGGCCCTGGACCGTTCGGTGCGCCATCATCTGCACAAGACAGCCGAGAGCTTTCCGCTGGGCGAGATCGAGCGATCCGTGTTCAATCAGGTGCTGTCCACACTTCACGAGTATCCCTGCCTGGAATCCTGTCCGCCGCTGACGCACTTCGTCAGCGCCTGCGTGCGACTGGCCTGGCGCATGATAAACCAAAAGGCGCCCTATTATCTGGACACTGATTTCAATCTGGGTAAGATGATACACTAAATAAATGTTAATTTACATATTTAATTAAATTTACTATTAATACATATTTATGTTATTATTATCTAGGCTTTCTGCGTCCCGAGAAGCACGAACGCCACCCGCAGTCCGATCGTCGCTCGGACCTGATCAAGGCCTTCCTCTGGCCCGCTCTGATGCAGAACAACCGGTGCGCCTTCAAGGCAGTCGTGGCCACCTAGCTGACCCAGCTGCCTACTTAACTAGCTTAAGTTACGCAATTTGTACATAATTTATCTTACTCTTACTCGTAATTCCAATAAACTTAACCTAAACTCTAAGCATAAGATGTCGATATTTTGGCTAGGCATAACTGATGGGCTTCAGTCGCACGCTTTGGCTGCGCTCCTTGTTGGTGCAGAGCAGCGGGTGCTCCGCGTAGAACTCAATGATCTCGCATGGCGAGCTGAAGTGGCGCTCGTGCGGCTTCCACTGGCCAATGGCGAATCTCTGGCGCATATCAATTTGCCGCACAAACAGGTGATAATAGTTACCCCCCGCCCAGATGCTCACAATGTACTTGATGCACACGTCCGTCGCCTTGAAGGGACGCACTAGACAGGCGCCGTCCTCTCGCTGGTAGAGCATGCGCTCGGCCATGCTGCGGTCCACGGTGAAGTAATATTGCTCAGTTTCGATTTGACGCTGCTCGATCTCCACATAGTTGGCATCGGCTTCATCTGCAGTTAAATAAGCGAGTGTGAGTGAGTGTGTGTATGTGTATGTATTTGAGAAAGGCAATATATAATGTTCTAAATAAGTCTGAGGAGCTTAAGTATAACCTATATATTGGTAGTTGTATCTGAATTCATAAGGGTATTTGGCATAGTCTTCTTTTTTGGGGAAGCAGTAGAAACAGTTCTCAGATTGGACCAGATTGGACCAGAAGCTTTTTCTTCATGATACAAATTTGGCATTAACTTTTTCCTCTGCTATGTAAAGAGTAGAAATATTTGTCATTATTATTTCGTTCGTTCGTTAGTTCCAGAAGAAGTATCTGAAGTTGAATCTAATAATCTGAACTAACTTTCCAGACTCCTAGCTACAAATATATGATTCAAATTCTCTAGATTGATGGACAACACGTCGTTAACATTAACAAAGAAAGACTTTTCATACATACAACAATTTTGGTCAAGTTTGTTACCAATCTATATCGCACTATCAATATAGAACAAAGACTTCGACATGCCGGAGATAACAACGTTTATTATCAAAGTGTCTCGCTCAGAACTCACCCACTATGACATAATCGTGTGGTGCTGCTCGTCGCAGGTCGTCATCAACGATCGATTCTGAAACTTGTTTGGCCGCGTCGCTCTCGGCGTCGGCGTCGCTGTCGCTGTCACCGGGCTGGCGCCTGTAGCTGCCGCAGCAGACACAGCAGCTCCGCCGATAGCCACTGGCGCAGTTGCGATCCGTGAGGCTGTTGAAGAGGCGCGCGAACAGATTCTGTAGAACCGTCCAATAGACACGTGCGCACCAGCACATGGCGTACTCAATGGCTGAATGGCTGAATAGCTGAATGACTGAATGCCTGAATGGAATTGGAGCCAATCTCTGCTTAGCTTAATTTGATTTCTCGTTCTAGTTCGTTGCCGTCGCGCCGCATCTTCTCGATGTCTGAGCAAAGACTGAGCCACTGAGCCACTGTGCCTGCGCCCACAGCGGCAGTGTCTGGACTACTGCCGGAGCGTCTATTAATTAAAAAGTGCTTAATGCGCAGCTCAGCAGACGTGACAATGTGTGTGTGTGTGTGTGTTCGAGTGTGTGTGTGTCTGTATGTATAAAATGACCATATGTGAATATCATAAAGATATGAATTATAAACAATAATATTTATTTACCCTATAAAATTTTCAATCCAAGAAAGCCAAACAAATATATGCATCAGGTGAAATCAAATACTCATTTTATATGCACTGATTTCTGAGGGACCTATTTAGATCTAATATATGTATATTGTAAACAATAAAAAAAATAATAAATTGATTTCCATCATATATATACTGAATTAAAAAAAATCTTTAAATATAAAATATTACATATTTCTTTAGAATCTTTTTCATAGGGTAACTGCTAGTCCATCCACGTACTCCCACATTTTCTGTTGGGGCATATTTGCTATTTTTATTGCTGGTAACCCGATATGACAATTGTCACAGTCTTTGCCAGCGCAGCCAAGTGCAGATCGTGTCACTTGGTTCGACTCGGTCGCCGAGCATTCCCACAACCAGCCAGCACACATTTTGTAAACAATCTCTTAATATGTGTTTGAAGGCAGCTCCCGAAACGACACATGTGCCATCCGCTACCCAACCCCAACCATATCCCCAACCCAACAAACTGCCACAGCGAGTTACTCATCGCAATTCTCAGTTTGGTAGGCATTCATTGAATGTGGATCTCTGTTAGTTGTAGTGCCCAGATCCCAAGAGATCTTATTTCCCATTACATAGTTCAGGTTACTGCAAAGTGTAGACATGCTGGAGCCAAGTGGCTGGCATGTGGCGAAGAATTACAAACTCAGTGGTGGTGTCAATATAATTTTATAATTTAAATACATAATGGATATATTTTTATAAAAATATATTAGTAAATTAATTTTGTTTTCAAATACAAAATTACTATTATATAATATATTTTAATATATTGAGATACTCTAAAAATGATGTAGTTGTAAGTCTTATACTTTACAACTGCTGCTTATTATAATTATTAGCAAAGTCACAAGCCTGCGTCTTATACATTGTTATTATAATTGTAAGCAGGGACACCCACCTCACCTACTGTTACAAAATTCTTGCTTAACAACCGACGCACAAACTTAACGAAAATCACAAAAGTATAACCAACGACAACCACCTCAACGAAAGCACGCTTAGCAATGCTTATACTTATACCAGTATATACACACACCATTAAGGCAGCTAATGCGGCTCTTCAAAAAGCTTTATAACATATTAAATAAAATACTGCTGACAGCTGGCTTTTAAAATTAAAAACTTTAAAAAATATTTGAAATTTATAGAATATTTAATCAAGGTTCAGTAAACAGTCCATTAGAGATTACACACATAAATAATGCAAAATTCCTCCTTAGCCACATACAAATATAAGTAGATCGTACAAGTGCAAATATAAAATTTTAGGGTAAGATATAAGCAGCAAAGCAATAACAACCTGAAGGCACATCACGTGCGTCAAATGTCAATTAAATGATTTATCAATGTATATCTATATATGTATATATTAATGTAGCATTAATAACAATGCAGTATAATATGATCGCGGACAGTAGCAGTTGCGGCGCTGTCAATTAATATGCGGCCAACAATTTTGATTGAACTGCTAACAAGCTGGGGCCATCAACTGCCTCGGTCGGCGTCGCCGTCAGCGTCGGCAGCGATCATAAAGCAACAAAATCGCACAAATTGATTTTGGCCATTTGCAGAGGCGTTTGATTGAGCTATGTACCGGGCGTTGCTTGGCGTGGCGGCCGTCAGTTCCAGGGTCTGCCCGGCATTGGGGCAATGTCAGTCAAGGTGGCGCCGCAGTTCAAATCTATCTGTGGCAACAACAACAACAGTGTCAGCGGTGCGGCAGCAGCAAGCGGTTCCCGTTGGATCTGAATGGATTGCCCATTAATTTCAATCATTCAACCAAGCGTCGATGCTGATTGAAAACGCCGACAGACTGAAATAAATAATTTACGCATTTCGATGTCAAAGAACTGTGACAAAATAAACGCGTTTATAGCTCAATTATGCGACAGTTCTAAATGTCCCCGATATTTAGACTAGTTCATAATTCAACAAACAAAAATAAACGCGGCGTATGCTTAATTTAGGCACACACAATAAACATTGACATTCACAGATATGCTGTCTCCGTTGTTCCTGCTTCTCTTCTATGCCGCTGGCAAAATATAAATGACAGCAACGAAGCAGCCGTAGAAATGAGCACCCAAAACTCACCACACACACACACATATACGTATTACAGAGTGCAATATTCAACATGCACCAGAGGGAACGACTGCGACTGACTTCGGGTTCGTGTTCGGGTTCGGGCTCATGTTCGGGCTCACTTGCGGGATTGTTATGGGCTCTGCTCGCCTGCCTGCCGAATCCAGTCGAATCCGCGTCGTGTCGCTGTGGCTGGCAACGTTATCACATTTGCTATCCGGCAGCGGCAGCGGCAGCGGCAGCGGCAGCGACAGCGACTGCGACTGCGACGTCGTATCCCAGCGAATTGTTTGCGCATTTTGCCAGCGAGCGTTGGGCAGCGCGGATGAATTTCGCACCAGGCGCGAATAAATCATAATAAAAAAAACCAATAAAAATATAACAAAAATAAGATAAAAAAAAAAAAAAAAAGAAGCAGCGGCTCATCATAAAAATTCAAATCCCGATTGCAAATCAGACGAAATTCACGTCAATAATTTGTCAATGAAACGCGATCCGAAAAGTTTTCCATCAAATCTTATAGCCGTATCAATCGCCGAGTGTCAATTAAATTAGCGCGCCAATATCGAGCGCGATTCGAAGCCAAAGCCAGGCGCAACAGGTACCGCTCTCTCTCTTGTTCTCACTCTCTCTCTCCCCCGCTCTCTGTGTGAGTGTGTGCGTATGTGGAGGTGTGTGTAGGTGTGTGCAGGTGCCACAGTGAAACGCCATTTTATAAGTCAAGTGAAAACCAGATCTAAATTGAATTTAGTCAACAAAATAAAAGTGAAAAGTGGGCAAAGAGTGCATTGAATTGTTCGACTATATACATATATCATCAAAATTAAATGAAATAATCATGGAAAACGAAATTAGAAAACTTGAAGCAGGTAAAAATTTGTAAATATTTAAATAGATTCTACTAATACAACAAAATAAATAATAGACAAAATTTAATTTAAATTTTTATGCGAGACCATAGTAGAAAATGGAGTCATTCCTATTTGTATGTATATATCAATATGTATTCTTATATATATATATATATATATATATATTATTATATACATATTAAGCGTTCTGCTATACATATAAGTCTAACAACCCAAAGATCTTCAACTTTAAATAACTTTATTCAGTCAAATTGTTTAGCTTATTTGAGCTAACAATTTGAGTGTTTTTATGAGTTTTGCATATAATATATAGATGTATTGGTGAATTTCTTGGAAAACACTTCAGACCTTTAGCTGGCTTCAACCAGCTTAATCTCAATGCTCGATAAACAATTGCAATAACAATTAATACAATTTTTGATTTTGAGCTTAATCTAAGCGTAGCGAAATTTCAATTGAAGCCAAATGACTTTGAGTTTGGCCAAATACAAAGCGAAAATCCATATGAAATTTCGTATGCTGAGCAGGGCGTTAATATTTGAATACAGGGAACATATGCGCGGACCAAAAACAGTGAGAAAATCAATAAAACTCGTACAACTTGGGTGTAGAATGTGTTTTATGCTCGCAGTTTATACAAATATATATGCTTACATACATATGTATATATGTGTGTATGTGTATATTCTAATATAAATATTTATATGCTGCTCATTTCATTCAAGCTGACCTGTTGCATGATGAGGTGTATAAGTGTGTCTGTGTGTGTGTGTCTGTGTGTGTGTGTTTGTGTGTGTGTGTGTTTGTGTGTGGCGGCCTGTCTGCCCTTATGGTTAGCTGATATTTTATAAATTAATTATGTTGCCCGCTAATTGCGTCTTCCGTCCGGGCCACTCAACTTGCTGCTATATTTGCTGTTTTTGTTGTTGGTTTAGCATTAAAAAAATAAATATCAAGGAAAATTCTGAATCTAAATCTATACACGAGCAGCTCATCAAATGGAATAACCAATGCCAAAATTTTGATGTTCACCTGTTGCCAAAGGCCACGGCCAAGCGGCAGCAACTGCTCGCTGCACGTGGCGCATGCAGCACAGATGAAAATGGCATATGCGAGGGAAATTAGGGAAATGCTTAGCAAATTGAGATATGCCATTGGCAAAACGAATTGCCGCCCGCTGTTCATGAATTATGGCAAAAGCATTCGCATTACTCAGAGCAAATCGGGCATTGCATTGTCGGGCCACAAAATCATCTTGAAAGCGGCTGACGTTCGGTTTATCTATCCATATATCTGATCAGCAGATGCACTCGCTGCCCTCTAACCGCAATTCGCATGCATTCGCAAATGTCAGGCTGGGCAGATGGCAGGGGGTGTGGCTGGGCGGACGGGCGATGGGAACTGTTGCAATCGTCTTTTGTTGATTGCGCCTTTGTGTATAAATTAATTAAATTAAAAGTTTCCGGTTAAGCCTCCAAATGCCTCAACGCGCATTGCACATGCACATGCAGCACACTGACAGCGCGAGAGTGAAAGAAACAGAGAGACAGAGAGAGAGAAAGAGAGCGACTGAGAGAGAGTGGGAGAGGGTTAAGTAGCCAAGCTGCTCTACAGAGACAATTTAATATTGCATTGGCTGTAGGGTGAAGCAGCCCCTCTTTATAGATTTATGCAAAGTAGAAGTTATCTGGACATGAGCCGTATATTCATGGATATACAAAAGTATATCTCTATATAAATAAACATACATGTTCCTAAGGACTACATGCTGATTCAAGTTGAATGGAAATTTGTTTATTTTGTTTCAGTTTTACATGTTCAAGATAAATTACGGAAGATTATTTATAAATTATAAACAATGAAGGAAGTTCGTATTATAGACATAGAAACTGTTTCTTGAATTTTATGTAGAACATAAAATAAATTTATATGAAATATATGTAGGTATGGAAATGGAATGTAAAATAAATATATATTATATAGTTCCCCACTCTGTCTGCTTCTATTTTAACACATAGCCAGAGTTCTTTGACGCTCTTGTCTTATCAGCAATAGTTCTGCCTTGCCTTTCACCTCCTTCAACTGCATTTTAATTTATCGAATAAGTATGCTAAAAATAATCATTTAACTGTGGCTGACTTCCCAGAAGTAACACTGGTTTATTTTATCTTAAAGTTGGACATTTCCAGTTCACTGAATGCATACAAATATCATTTATTATTAATTATATGCGGAAATGTTTGTGTTGGATTTCACGTTTAAACATCAAAGGCTTGACTTTAAATATTTAAGATATATTTAAAGTCAATTAGGATCTTTCCATGCTGCCCACTTGATTTGTTTGCCAAGGCAAAGCAATAAAATCGCTTTTCAGATGTTTATATGGACAGGCCCACTCACTCACTTTGCCCATCTCTCTCTCTCTCTCTCTCTCTTTCGCCTCTCTTACTCTTTTATTTGTATACTCATCAAATGCCAAAGGCTCTGCCATCTAATGCTTAGTTGATTCCGACTGATTTAAAGCCCTTCAGTGTGCGCAACGGTGCGAATGCGCAACGCTCAAGCATATTACACATACGCCGCGTGTGTCGCCGACACGTAAATATCAATGTATTTTGGCAAATGTTGCAAATCGATTGCGTACAAGGTGGAAAATGTGATTTTGCGATTTGTTTGCACTTTGTGAGTGGCTGCCAAAAGCAAAGCAAGCGAAGTGGACAAATCTGATTTGTGTGCGATTATTTGAATTAAAAGTAAGTCACGAATGCGTAAACAGTCGACGCTTTTAGCATGTTCGCCCTGGAAGCAAACAAGAGGAAGCCACACAAAAAAAAAATATGAATATGAGCGAATATATATATATATATATATATATATATTTACATATATATACAATTATATATATCGCAAAGCTGAGCGTCAAGTTTTTCGCTGCTCACAATTAACATTCAATTAGAAAATAAACACGACGCTAATTACAACTGCAAATTGGAACGCGACTATAAATCAACGAGCGTCTGGAATTGTCTCAGATTTAACAGTGACCAAGCCACGCCCTAACTAAGCAACATAAGCAGCTGACTCCTGCTGCCCCTGCCCCTGTCCCGCACGCGACTCCTGCACATGCAATTAATGTGCAGTTGACCTTGATGTTAACTAAAGAGACGGTGTCAATATTTTGACAGGCCGCACACTCGACCCCTGGGAGCATACGAGGCGCACGACAGAAAGCGTGAGAGGGACAGTGAGAGTGAGCGAGATGGCTGCATGCATTATGATGGATATGCGAGCGGACGCCTCGCAAATCCCCATGGATCACGTTTTACTGTCCATCTCGCAATTCGCATTGTTGTTGCGTGGGCGTTACCGTGTGCGTGGGCGTGGCGCACCTAATGTTGACATCACTTGGCCATTTAATGGCACCCTTTATGGGCACTTTAACAGTGCCTGCAACACGGCTGGCATGTGGCCTGTGGGCCAGACATCGAGTCGCATCGCGGCCCCGTTAAATGCCACTCTTAAGCTGACCCCAGACGCAGACACACGCATGCACACACACACACACCCACACAATCAGCACTGTAACGGTGACCTTTGCATTGCTCTTAAAGAAAATGCTGCCTGCCAAGCTGTACAAACCGACACCGAAACAGAGACTGAAACAGAAATTAGTTTGTTGTAACAGCTCCTGCTGGGGTGGCGGAAAACCTTTAAGTGCACTTTAAGGTGTTACTTAACTGTTTATTTGTTTGGTTTATTTGCTTATTATTGCTTTGAATATGGCTCGTGAGACGCAGCAATATGGCAGCTATTGCTAATTCAATTTGATATAAACACCGAGATGTTGTGAAGTGCTAACAGAGAATTATATTGAGTGAAAATGTTTAGTAGCAGACATTTATGAGCTCATATGGCATATTCATGCTCGCACACTTAGAATGGACGTCTGTCTGGCTGAAAGTCATGTGGCCATATAGCAAAGTCAAGTGATATATCTATCATAGAGAAAGAGACTAAAGAGTTGCTAGGATATTCAATTTATGGTAGCATGAGCTTCAGCCATTCAGAAAGCTACTCAATAACGAACTTATAATAGCTATGAGAAGGAACCCCGTTTTGGATTTTCATTTCATTTTCTTCGAAAAATTTCCAATAATTTCCGAGGGCTAAATAAAGGCTTGCCCATTTAGTTTAATTAGCTTATTATTTATTGATTTAATGACGTGTCAGTGGAAAAGTTAATTTGATGCGTGAATGATTCCATAACTGTTCCGCGCATGACAAATTTTGAACAAATATACAATGTCGGAAAATAGGTTCAGTAAACGGAATAGGCATCGCAGAGGAGTATTACAAATGTATATGATAGAGACCAAGACTAATATAATAATATTGAAAGAGAAGATAAACTCTAGATACCTTATTCTGGGAGCAAATTTTAAGAGTTGCGCCACATAAATTTTCCTTTTCTTGAAAAATTAACCTATCGATATTGCTATGCGTTCCCATGGTGCATAGAACACAGATAATAATCGTAAGGTCCATTTTCATCCTTAAACACGATATCTAACACATGAAAGTCTTGTTCCAGAATAAGAGTTGACTGTAAAACTTAAACACTACTCATAATAAATCTTTTACTTAATTTGTTGCTTGCTAGAAATCTGTGTAAAATATAAAAATAAACATATATGTGCATATAATTCATTTGTAAACATTTAATGACCATTTTACGGACAATTTGGCAAACAATGCTTTTAACATCCACTTGATGAAACTATTCACATTTTTATGGCTATTCACAATTTAATAGATATTTTTATGCCAGCTCTCAGTCCTTAGAGCATAGAGGGAGCAAGAGTGAAGGAGTGAGAGCAAGAGAGAGAGAGAGAGAGAGAGAGAAAATATAAGATGACGTATGTAAACATCGATTAGCTAAACTCTCAGATCTATAAGCCTATTTTGGCTAAAATGTACGGCCCAATCGAATACATTCT